ACAAAAGAAAATAAAGCAGATCATATTTTCTATGCCCTTACTTCGAATCCTGCTTTGTTCCATTTTTTGTTCTTAGAGCTTTGGAATATTTCAAGGAATCCAGTCCTATTTACTGAGGAGAGGCTGTGGTTTAACTGAACACTTGGTTTGTCAACAGTGTATGTTGTGGTGTGAGGAAAGAACAATTGCACTATTTTTAAACCACACTGCCTCAATATTGCAATACATTTTTTATTGCAGCTTCCAGTTACTCACCTCGATCACAAAGCCCACTGAAAGGACACAGAGTTAGAAACATAACTGTGGAGCCACGGAGAACACACAGAATGAAAGAAAGAATGTTTCAATGCTATGCTCCAGCTGGTGAAGGAATAGAGTATGAAGAATAGGCTCTGAGTGTCAGCATCTATGGTACTGAATGAGAAGGGCTGAAGAAACAATGCAGGCTAGACCATATTTTAGCATCCTCCCACCAGCCCCCCCCCCTATTTTGTAGGCATCAGTTGAATTTCTTGTAGGAAACTAAATCTGGCAAGCCCACACATCTATAGAAATATAATGTATTACTTATTGTAAAAACGGGCTGTTCTTTCTTATGAGAAACTAGTTCTTATTCCAATTGGTATTTGAAACTCTGCATCTCTTCATATGAAAATTAATTCTGAAATTGACCTGGTCCACAAATACGATGTGACCTCTATTGACTGGAATGGTAGTTGGCAATCAAATTAGTTAGGAGAAACACAGAGATTTCCTTGTACAGAATATAGACGGATAGATGCCGTATAGACGAGGAACTAGGCTTGTTTTCTCTTTCTCTCAGAGGCAGGAGCAGAACCAGAACCATTGAGTTGAAAATGCAAGGAATCTGATTCAGATGAAATATAAGAAAAGGTTTTCTGTTGGCAAGAGCATTTATTTATTTATGAGACTTATATACCGCTTTAAGTGCAAGCACTCTCTAAGCGGTGTACACCAGTAAGCAATGTATATATATATATATTTACATTGCCCCCAACAATCTGGGTCCTCATTTTATCTACCCCGGAAGGATGGAAGGCTGAGTCAACCTTGAGCTGGTGAGATTTGAACCGCTGACCTGCTGAGGTTCTCCTTAGTCTGGTAGATGTTTGCCTGATATGCTTCAGCAGTTCCTGCTTTGAGCAGCAGCTCGAACTAGGTGACCTGATAGATCCTTTCTAACTCTGATTCTAGATAATAAAAAATATTCTCTCCAACTTTTCTACCGATTGGTGGGGAGAAGGGAAAGGTAGTTGAATACGCAGGTTCATGTTGGTGACTATGGACAAAAATTAACCCTTTTTACTTACATGCAAATATTGTAAAGAAATAACAATAAGAAAATTGAAAACAACAAACCTGGAGGGAAATGAAAGATTGATTGATGGACACACTTCAGCAACAGACAATTCCACATTCAATTGTATCCAGAAAGGAGAGATTTCATCACCAAAGTAGTTAGGGTATGCATATATAGCCTGGAAGGACAGGAGAAAGCTTTGAGGCCTCAGCTTCAGCATTTACTGCTGCAAAGAGTGCAAGAGTAATTGTTTTTATGACTGTTTGCTGCCCAGAGTCACTGGTTTGAGATGGGCAGCTATACAAAAAACAATGAAATATGCAATGAAATAAGACAGAGAATTGCTGACATATTGTGATTCAGGAAAAAGGAAAGAACAGGGAAGGAGCATTAAAGGAAGTATTGGTCTATATAACTTTATATCACTTTTTTGAAAACATAAAACTGGAAGAATGTATGCTCCATAGAATCACTATGGATGGTAGCATTTGGCCAAAAATAAATATTAGATCTAATGACATGCTGCCTCTCACCTGAATCAAGAAAATTGGCAAAGGTATTCTCTTTTTTTTAAGCTGCAAACATATCCATATTTAATTGGGAAAAAGTGCCATTGAACTCAACGGGACTTTATTTTTAGGAAGATATGCTTGGGACTACAATGTACAAAATGTCTTTGGATAGATTGTAGGCCTGTTCACCTACTTTTGTTAAACTTCAGCTTGATTAAACAATTGATTGAATAGTCTGCAATTGTCTGGTTTACTTAGTACAGAAAGCCACACACTATGGTTGATGAAGATTAGTGACTCCCCCAAATGTTGATCATAACATTTTAGATTTTTGTAATCTCGGAGGTTTTCAAGTTAGGGGGAATTTTGTTGTATTCCACATTACGTTTAGCTCTGTTTTCCAATAGCTGACCTGGGTTATTTTGGGTGTCTGTATATATTTTTAAAGTGGGCTCCTTTAGAGTCAAAGGTATTCTTGATATAGTAATTTCTGGTAATGAGCTTAAAGTAAGCAGTTCATTTTCTGTACAGCAGTGTAAATTGACTGAATACTTCTGCTCCTTAAAGTAACTTTTGGAACGCAGAATCCTTCTATTCTAACTTGGCAACATGCTTCATTTCATGTCTTCTAAGTGTTTTAAAAGAAAATAAAGCAAATCATGACTTCCATAAACCTTTTAATTCAGATCTATCTTGGTTCCATTTTTTGTTCATAGAAATTTAGAATATTAGAGAAATTCAGTCAGTTTCTTAGCTGAACTCTTAGTTTGTCAACCATGCATTTGTGGTGTAAGGAAGAACAATTACGCTATTTTTAAACCACACTGCCTCATTACTGCAATAAGACTTTTCTTAAATTGTAACTTCCAATTTTGTGGGCTTGCTTTTATCACAAAGTCTGAAAGAACACAGAGTTTAAAACATAACCGTTAAGCCACAGATCACACAACAAATTCTATGGGGTCCAGTCGGTGAAAGGGTAGAATTGGAAGAAAAAGCTCTTTCAACATCTAGCATTCTGAAGGCGAGAGAGCAGCTAAAAGAAGAATCCAGCACAGACCACCTTCTAGTGGCTGGCTGACCGGCCGTCCTCAGCGAGTGGTCCTCAATGGAACTGCATCTATATGGAGGGAAGTGTGTAGTGGGGTGCCCCAGGGCTCTGTTCTGGGCCCAGTACTCTTCAACATCTTCATCAACGATTTGGATGAAGGGATAGATGGGGAACTCATCAAATTTGCAGATGACACCAAGCTGGCAGGAATAGCCAACACTCCAGAAGACAGGCTTAAGATACAGAAGGATCTGGACAGACTTGAACACTGGGCACTAACTAACAAAATGAAATTCAATGGTGAAAAAAGCAAGGTTCTACATTTAGGCAAGAAAAACCAAATGCACAAGTACAGCATAGGTGGCACCATGCTCAATAGTAGTAACTGTGAGAGGGACCTCGGAGTCCTAGTAGACAATCACCTAAATATGAGCCAGCAGTGTGCTGCAGCTGCCAAAAAGGCCAACACAGTGCTAGGCTGCATTAACAGAGGGATAGAATCAAGATCACGTGAAGTATTAATACCACTCTTCAATGCCTTGGTAAGGCCACACTTGGAATACTGCATCCAGTTTTGGTCACCACGATGTAAAAAAGATGTTGAGACTCTAGAAAGAGTACAGAGAAGAGCAACAAAGATGATTAGGGGACTGGAGGCTAAAACATATAAGGAACGGTTGCTAGAATTGGGTATGTCTAGTTTAACGAAGAGAAGGACAAGGGGGGACATGATAGCAGTATTCCAATATCTCAGGGGCTGCCATAAAGAAGAGGGAATTAAGCTATTTTCCAAAGCACCTGAAGGCAGGACAAGAAGCAACGGGTGGAAACTAATCAAGGAGAGAAGCAACCTAGAACTAAGGAGAAACTTCCTGACAGTGAGAACAATTAATCAGTGGAACAACCTGCCTCCAGAAGCAGTAAGTGCTCCAACACTGGAAGTTTTTAAGAAGAGACTGGACAGCCATTTGTCTGAAATGGTGTAGGGTTTCCTGCCTGAGCAGGGAGTTGGACTAGATGACATCCAAGGTCCCTTCCAACTTTACTACTATTACTATTACTATTACTAGTCCCCCCCATTGTTTATGGATAGATTGAATATTTTGTAGGAAGTTCAATCTGGCAGGTCTGCATATCTATAAAAATTTAATTTATTATACAGACTAGAATACAGAACAATAGAATTGGAAGGCACCTTGAAAGTCCTCTAGGACTTTGACATCCTGCTCAAGCAGAAGACCCTATACTGTTCTGGATAAATGGCTGTCCAATCTCTTCTTAAATACCTCAAGTGAGGGAGCACCCACAACTTCTGGAGGCAAGCTGTTCCACTGGTTAATTGTCCTCACTGTCAGGAAATCTCTTAGTTCTAGGTTGGATCTCTGCTTGATAAATTTCTATCCATCGCTTCTTGTTCTGCCTTTAAGTGTTTTGGAGAATAGGTTGCCCCCTCTTCTCTGTGATAGCCCCTCAAATTTTAAAAGACTGCTATCATGCCACCCTTAGTCCTTGTCTTCATTAGAGTAGATATACCCAGTTCTTTACAACCATTCATTCTATGTTTTAGACTCCAGCCTAAATCATTTTTGTTGCTTTTCTCTGTACTCTTCCTAGTGTCTATGGAGATCCTCAATCATCCAGGTTATGGTTGTCCCAAAAGTGCTTTTCCAAAAGGCAACGGAACTTTCCTGATTTTTTCCCCTTGCAAATGTTTCGCTTCTCATTCAACAAGCTTCTTCAGTTCTGACTGTCAGGAATTCAGCTAAAAAGTCTTTGACTCCCTTAGACTACATTTCAGTATCTTGTACCTATTCAGATATGACTTTTTGTTGGAATTCATTGTTGGATTGCATTTCTGTGTAACAACTACAATAGTATTCAGCCAATAGATCGCAGCATTTACAAGTTTGGATGTATGGTATATACCTGGGGTAGGCAACCTTGGCTCTTTTATGACTCGTGGACTTCAACTCCCAGAATTCCTGGGAGTTGAAGTCCATGAGTCATAAAAGAGCCAAGTTTGCCTCCCCCTGGTATATAAAAGAGCCAAGGTTGCCTACCCCTGGTATATACTATTATGCTCTTTTGTCCTAAGTAGAGTTTCCTGTTTCCTGTTACAGTTAAAATAGTTGAGCAGTAAAGCAGACGGTGATTGTAGTCTTTGTTTGCTCTGTGAGGTGCTTTATATAAACAGAATTTCTATCAGGTTATGGGCCCAGAGATTGCATCCAAGCACACAGCAGCAGCATAACAGCCTGATCATAGCCAGCTGCAGCAAGTAAGTGCAAGATGATCAAATCATACACATATATAAATGTGAAACTGCTAAAGAAATGTAGGAAGGATTACAAAAGGGTTAGGGATTGGATACTGCATCCAGTTTTGGTCACCACGATGTAAAAAAGACGTTGAGATTCTAGAAAGAATACAGAGAAGAGCAACAAAGATGATTAGGGGATTGGAGGCTAAAACATATAAGGAACTGTTGCTGGAATTGGGTATTAAGCTATTTTCCAAAGCACCTGAAGGCAGGACAAGAAGTAACGGGTGGAAACCAATCAAGGAGAGAAGCAACTTAGAACTAAGGAGAAACTTCCTGACAGTGAGAACAATTAATCAGTGGAACAACCTGCCTCCAGAAGTTGTGAATGTTCCAACACTGGAAGTTTTTAAGAAGAGACTGGACAGCCATTTGTCTGAAATGGTATAAGCTTTCCTGCTTGAGCAGGGGGCTGGACTAGAAGACCTCCAAGATACCTTCCAACATTATTATTATTATCATTATTATTATTATATCACACACATATTGGCATGTATTACTAATATTATGTTAGTATATGTAAATAACAGGAGATAAGAATGAAACATTGGTTAATTATATCATATAAATCAGGAGAATGTTTCTCATAGTAGCATAAGCCCTTCTGCATATAGCATAATTTCTGAACCATTAACATATTGGCACTAGAACCCTTCCCAACATGTGCCTTGCATGTCTATATCTATAACTAGGAACTCATCCCCATTCAGATGTATTCAAATATGAAATTCTATCATCTGCTGTCTGACATGGGAAACAATCACACATTTTGTTTCTAAAGGCATATCTTGATTATGAGCACAAGGGTGTCAGCACTTCTTCTTTTCTGCAAGGCAGGCAGTATTGGAGGCAAACAATTCTGGCTCCACCACCAAAAAAACCCAGAGTTTCCATGTTTTTCCTCCCCCAATCTCCTCCAAACGAGGAACAACCTGTTGCTTCTCCTGCTATGAACAATGTAGATGGTTGACTCCAGTGTTGGGATTCAAATATGTGAACAACCGGTTCTCTGTGTGGATGCTGCTTCCAGAAGTCCATTCTGAGCCTGGGCAACAAAAATTTAGCTACCGGTTCTACTGAACTGATGCGAACCGGCTGAATCCCACCACTGGTTGACTCTGTGGGTAGCTCTTGGTTTGGAAAGGCAACTGAGACCAGAATTGCCTGTTATAATAGATGTGGTCATAAGGTGAAACATCATGTGTCTGCAGCACCTAGAAATAACCGTTCTGGAAGTCACAGCTGCCATCACTAACTGAGCACCAAGAGGTTGCGGTTTAAGTGAATACTTAGTTTGTCACAATTTATCTTGTGGTGGAAGAAGAAACAGTTGCATTGTATTATGAACCACACTGCTTCATTATTGCAATAAGATTCTTCTTAGTTTCCAAGCGTGTTGTGGACTCACTTTTATCACAAAATCCACTGAAAGGACAAAGGGATAAAAACATAACTGTGGAGCCACAGAGAATACACAGAATGAAAGGAAAAGACGGGGAAGGGTCATTGAGGGTGCTGTGACTTTTTATATCACTTTCTCTAAAACAGTAGAAGTACCTAAGTTTCATAGAATCATAGGAATGATAGCATCTGGCCACAAAAACAAATTAGGTCTAATGACATGCTGCCACTCACCTGAATCAGGAAAGTTGGCAGGGCCATCCTTGATACAGCAATTTTTGGTAATGAGCTTAAAGACCATTTCATGTCTATTAAGTTTTACAAAAGAAAATAAAGCAGATCATATTTTCTATGCCCTTACTTCGAATCCTGCTTTGTTCCATTTTTTGTTCTTAGAGCTTTGGAATATTTCAAGGAATCCAGTCCTATTTACTGAGGAGAGGCTGTGGTTTAACTGAACACTTGGTTTGTCAACAGTGTATGTTGTGGTGTGAGGAAAGAACAATTGCACTATTTTTAAACCACACTGCCTCAATATTGCAATACATTTTTTATTGCAGCTTCCAGTTACTCACCTCGATCACAAAGCCCACTGAAAGGACACAGAGTTAGAAACATAACTGTGGAGCCACGGAGAACACACAGAATGAAAGAAAGAATGTTTCAATGCTATGCTCCAGCTGGTGAAGGAATAGAGTATGAAGAATAGGCTCTGAGTGTCAGCATCTATGGTACTGAATGAGAAGGGCTGAAGAAACAATGCAGGCTAGACCATATTTTAGCATCCTCCCACCAGCCCCCCCCCTATTTTGTAGGCATCAGTTGAATTTCTTGTAGGAAACTAAATCTGGCAAGCCCACACATCTATAGAAATATAATGTATTACTTATTGTAAAAACGGGCTGTTCTTTCTTATGAGAAACTAGTTCTTATTCCAATTGGTATTTGAAACTCTGCATCTCTTCATATGAAAATTAATTTTGAAATTGACCTGGTCCACAAATACGATGTGACCTCTATTGACTGGAATGGTAGTTGGCAATCAAATTAGTTAGGAGAAACACAGAGATTTCCTTGTACAGAATATAGATGGATAGATGCCGTATAGACGAGGAACTAGGCTTGTTTTCTCTTTCTCTCAGAGGCAGGAGCAGAACCAGAACCATTGAGTTGAAAATGCAAGGAATCTGATTCAGATGAAATATAAGAAAGGGTTTTCTGTTGGCAAGAGCATATATCATTGTAAATAGTGGTTACCTCAGTATGATTCTCTTCACAGGTTCTCCTTAGTCTGGTAGATGTTTGCCTGATATGCTTCAGCAGTTCCTGCTTTGAGCAGCAGCTCGAACTAGGTGACCTGATAGATCCTTTCCAACTCTGATTCTAGATAATAAAAAATATTCTCTCCAACTTTTCTACCGATTGGTGGGGAGAAGGGGAAGGTAGTTGAATACGCAGGTTCATGTTAGTGACTATGGACAAAAATTAACCCTTTTCACTTACATGCAAATATTGTAAAGAAAATTGAAAACAACAAACCTGGAGGGAAATGAAAGATTGATTGATGGACTGATGCATTTTATATGTCCCTGTCAACTTTAAATAGCATAGGAAGAGATCATCAATTGATTTAGAGCTAATTATTGGAGAACACACAAATATATTTCATAATGACAATTCATTGAATTCATAGCATGAATACTCAAAATACTTGTCTATGAATGTGTTTAGGGTTTCAGTCGGATAACTCAATCTAAGCAAAATGAAAGTACAGACTTCAGTTTTTTGGTATATAAGATATCATGTCTAGGAATGACACTCTTTGCTGCAGACAGGGCAACACTAATGAGACATTTAGAGCTGCTCCTTGAAGCTTGTTCTGTTTAACTACCTACTCCTGGGCCCATTTATTGGGGAGTGATTAATATTACTAGGGTTTATCACACAGACAGCCAAATGTTCAGACTAGATTTGGCAATTGTCCACATATGAAGCCCTCCCCAAGGACATGTGAAAAACAGATAATAATAATAGTAAAGTTGGAAGGGACCTTAGAGGTCATCTAGTCCAACCCCCTGCTCAGGCAGGAAACCCTATACCATTTCAGATAAATGGCTGTCCAGTCTCTTCTTAAAAACCTCTAGTGTTGGAGCATTCACCGCTTCTGAAGGCAGGTTGTTCCACTGGTTAATTGTTCTAACTGTCAGGAAGTCTCTCCTTAGTTCTAGATTGCTTCTCTCCTTGCTTAGTTTCCACCCGTTCTTCTTGTCCTGCCTTCAGGTGCTTTGGAGAATAGCTTGACTCCCTCTTCTTTGTGGCAGCCCCTGAGATATTGGAACACAGCTATCATGTCCCCCCTCATCCTTCTCTTCATTAAACTAGACATACCCAATTCCAGCAGCCATTCCTTATATGTTTTAGCCTCCAGTCCCTTAATCATCTTTGTTGCTCTTCTCTGTACTCTTTCTAGAGTCTCAACATCTTTTTTACATCATGGTGACTAAAACTGGATGCAGTATTCCAAGTGTGGCCTTACCAAGGCATTGTAAAGTGGTATTAACACTTTACGTGATCTTGATTCTATCCCTCTGTTAATGCAGCCTATCACTGTGTTGGCCTTTTTGGCAGCTGCAGCACACTGCTGGATCATATATCTCATGTCTAATGGTGTTAAAGGTATTATTACAGGATGTAAGCTGTTCTGAGTAAAGTTGCCTTTTGCAATTAGCCAATGGTGTTTTGTCAATGTGGTGCTCTATTTGCTCTGGGATTGCACCCAAGGGACCTATTGTTTGCTTTCTTTTCCCAGAGACATTCTATTTCTATTTGCAAATCTTTTAATTTTGTTATTGTTATGTTCTGGGCTTGAGCTGCAGTCAGCAGACCACGTGGTCTGCCCGGGGAGACTTGCTGTCTGCAAGGAATAACTAAAGCAGGCAATTCGAGCGGGAAAAGCTGTTGCAATGATTTTCTGGTGATGCCCCAGGGAGATTGTATAATAGGGGATGGAGCCATTTTGTTGTTCTGTTTTACTTGAATAAAGACATATTTGTTTAATGCTCTGACTATTCAATGCCTACCAACGTGAAGATCAGAATAGTTATCTTCTTCAATTCTTTCTATAGTTCTTCATTTTCATGCAGACGTTTGAAAATATTTTAATCAGGAGAAAGGTGCTTTGTGAATCATGGGTTAATTGTGTAAAAGGAAGTTTATAAACTGGCCAGCTTGCCACATACTTCAGCAACAGACAATTCCACATCCAAGTGTAACCAGAAAGGGGAGATTTCGTCACCAAAGTAGTTAGGGTATGCATCTATATAGGATGGAATGACAGAAGAAAGCTTTGAGGCCTCAACTTCAACATTTACTCTTTCTGCTGCTCACTCTGCTGCTCTTCTCTTATACTCCAGTAAGTACTGTTTACTCCTTGAATGTTTCCTTTTTTGAGAGATTTGAGGACAAAAACAGACAAGACTCCACAGATACCCTCAAGGGTGCTTCAGGGTGATCTGCACAAGAAGCAAATAAAAGTTGGAGGCTATTGGTGCAGAACTGGCTATTTCACTGGAAGATCCTCTACATCAGTGGTGGCGAACCTATGGCACGGGTGCCAGAGGCGGCACTCAGAGCCCTCTCTGTGGGCAAGCGTGCCATCGCCCCAGTCCTAGGCCTTCAGCTGGGTTTTATAAAATCTTTTCACTTTAGGCCTCTGCTGCCGTGTGCAAAAAAAAAAAAAAAAAAAGGTTCAATCAGTCAATTTCAACTTCTCATGGGAAAAAAAAGATCTTGCAAAGTTGGAATTGATTGATTGAACTTTTTAGTCCCACCCAGTCTGCTGTTACCACTGCAGCCACACCCAGCCAATGGGCCATGCCCACCCAATGGGCCACACCCAGCCAATGGGCCACACCCACCCGGCACTTGACGATGTATAAGTGGGTGTTGGGTTGCAGTTTGGGCACTCAGTCTCTAAAAGGCTCGCCCTCACTGCTCTACACCAAGGATTTTTTGATTGTGACTCACAGTTTCTAAGAGGTCAGATGCAGCTCAGAAAGCAAAAACAACTTTTTATAAAGTTTATCAGACATTGTGAGGAAGAGAGTCCACTATATTGTTTTTATTTTTGTTTTTATTTAGTTTTAGACAAATGAAGGATCACATGATCACTTTTCATTTTGGGGAGTGGTGAAGCCCTGCTGTATACACCAGTGCTCAGCATTCCCAATAATTGTAATAAGAATAGGAGATAAGATGGAATTGTTTCAAATATTCACATTTGGTATATTTTTTCAGGTATTGCTGCCCAGCATATTGATTTAAGGGTGAGTACCATATTTTAATTATTAAATTAAATACCTGTATAGGACTCAGAAATGTGGATGCATAATAACCTCATGCCTCTCCCTCCCCACCACCACACCCTTTATGGCATAATAACAATAATAATAATAATAATAATAATAATAATAATAATAATAATAATAATAACAATAATAATAATAATAATAATAATAATAAAAAAGTTGGAAGGGACTGTATCCTCAGATACAATAAGACTCAATTATTTTTCAGATAGTTTACTTTCAACCTTCCTTATTAGGCTAGGTCTTCTGCTTTTATTCACTCCCTCTCCCTCTTTCCCTCCCTTTAGGGCACAGCACACACTTAAAAACATATGCACTGCAAAACCTTAAACATAACAAAGTAAACAATGTTTTATGTTACTGCTATGGACTTGTTTCTTTCAGAGGATCTTACATGCATATGTACCTTTAATTTTGGGACAGGTGTTGCAAACCATGCAAATCTAAACAGCAATGTAATGACTATAAGATATAATTCTTAAAAACCCAGATCCATTTTCCAGCATTGCTTTTTTTTTTGGTAACAAGTTTTATTAATTTTTCAATTTTTACAATCAGGTAATTAGGAAACATTGTGGAGATAGGGTAATCAATAGTCCAATAACAGAGTCATTCATATAAATAAAAAAATACATCATTAAAGGTTCCCTCTCTATTTCCCTTAATTATTGTATCATATTCAATTTAATACATTTCTTAATGAAGCTCAATCAATCAATACATTTATGGACACAATTTTAATTATAGATATCCAAGTCCTGATTTTGAGTTTTGTTGTTGTTGTTGTTAATTGCGAAGTCGTGCCCGACCCATCGCGACCCCATGGACAACGCTCCTCCAGGTCCTCCTGTCCTCTACCATCTTCTGGAGTCCATTTAAGTTCACGCCTACTGCTTCAGTGACTCCATCCAGCCATCTCATTCTCTGTCGTCCCCTTCTTCTATTGCCCTCAATCTTTCCCAGCATTAGGCCCTTCTCCAGCGAGTTCTTCCTTCTCATTAGGTGGCCAAAGTATCTGAGTTTCAGCTTCAGGATCTGGCCTTCTAAAGAGCAGTCGGGGTTGATCTCTTCTGGGACTGACCGGTTTGAATGCCTTGCAGTCCAAGGGACTCGCAGGAGTCTTCTCCAGCACCATAGTTCAAAGGCCTCAATTCTTTTGCGCTCAGCCTTTCTTATGGTCCAACTTTCACAGCCATACATTGCAACTGGGAAAACCATGGCCTGGACTATACGCACTTTTGTTGGCAGGGTGATGTCTCTGCTTTTTAGTATGCTGTCTAGATTTGCCATAGCTTTCCTCCCCAGGAGCAAGCGTCTTTTAATTTCTTGGCTGCAGTCCCCATCTGAGGTGATCTTTGAGCCCAGAAAAATAAAATCTGTCACTACCTCCATTTCTTCCCCATCTATTTGCCAGGAATTGAGAGGGCCGGATGCCATGATTTTGGTTTTCTTAATGTTGAGTTTCAAGCCAACTTTTGCACTCTCCTTCTTCACCCGCATCAAGAGGCTCTTTAGTTCCTCTTCACTTTCTGCCATTAGAGTGGTATCATCTGCATATCTTAGGTTGTTGATATTTCTCCCGGCAATCTTAATTCCAACTTTTGATTCATCTAGCCCTGCCTTTCTCATGATGTGCTCTGCATATAAGTTAAATAGGCAGGGCGACAGTATACAGCCTTGCCGGACTCCTTTTCCAATTTTGAACCAATCAGTGGTTCCGTGTCCAGTTCTCACTGTTGCTTCTTGACCTGCATATAGGTTTCTCAAGAGACAAATAAGATGGTCTGGTACTCCCATCTCTTTAAGAACTTGCCACAATTTGTTGTGATCCACACAATCAAAGGCTTTAGCATAGTCAATGAAGCAGAAGTAGATGTTTTTCTGGAACTCCCTAGCTTTCTCCATGATCCAGCGTATGTTGGCAATTTGATCTCTAGTTCCTCTGCCTCTTCGAAATCCTGCCTGTACTTCTGGTAGTTCTTGATCCACATACTGCTGGAGTCTAGCTTGTAGGATTTTAAGCATAACTTTACTAGCATGTGAAATGAGTGCAATGGTGCGATAGTTTGAACATTCTTTGGCATTGCCTTTCTTTGGAATTGGAATGTAAACTGACCTTTTCCAATCCTGTGGCCACTGTTGAGTTTTCCAAATTTGCTGGCAAATTGAGTGTAGCACTTTTACTGCATCGTCTTTTAAGATTTTGAATAGCTCAGCTGGAATACTGTCACCTCCACTAGCTTTGTTGTTGCTCAGATTTTCTAAGGCCCATTTCACTTCACATTCTAGGATGTCTGGTTCAAGGTCAGTGACCATCTCATTGTGGTTATCTGGGATGTTAAGCTCATTCTTGTATAGTTCTTCTGTGTAGTTTTGCCATCTCTTCTTAATCTCTTCTGCCTCTGTTAGGTCTCTGCCATTTTGGTCCTTTATCATGCCCATCTTTGCATGAAACGTTCCCTTCATATCTCCAATTTTCTTGAAGAGATCTCTGGTCCTCCCTATTCTGTTGTTTTCTTCTATTTCTTTGCACTGTTCATTTAAGAAGGCATTCTTATCTCTTCTAGCTACTCTCTGGAATTCTGCATTCAATTGGGTGTATCTTTCTCTTTCTCCTTTGCCTTTTGCTTCCCTTCTTTCCTCAGCTATTTGCAAAGCTTCCTCAGACAGCCATTTTGCTTTCTTGCATTTCTTTTTCTTTGGGATGGTTTTAGTTGCTACCTCTTGTACAATGTTGTGAACTTCCACCATAGTTCTTCAGGCACTCTGTCTATCAGATCTAATTCCTTAAATCTATTTTTCACCTCTACTGTATATTCATCAGGAATATGATTTAGTTCATATCTGAGTGGCCTAGTGCTTTTCCCTACTTTTTTCAATTTAAGCCTAAATTTTGCAACGAGAAGCTCATGATCTGAGCCACAGTCAGCTCCTGGTCTTGTTTTTACTGACTGTATAGAGCTTCTCCATCTTTGGCTGCAGAGCACATAGTCAATCTGATTTCTATGTTGACCGTCTGGTGATGTCCATGTGTAGAGCCGTCTCTTGGGTTGTTGGAAAAGAGTGTTTGTTATGACCATCGTATTCTCTTGACAAAATTCTATCAGCCTGTGCCCTGCTTCATTTTGTACTCCAAGGCCAAACTTGCCTGTTATTCCGGTTATCTTTTGGCTTCCTACCTTAGCATTCCAATCCCCCATGATGATAAGGACATCATTTTTTGGTGTTAATTCTATAAAGTGCTGTAGGGCTTCATAGAACCGGTCAATTTCATCCTCTTCAGCACCAGTGGTTGGGGCATAGATTTGGACTATTGTGATATTGAATGGTTTGCCTTGGATTCGAATTGAGATCATTCTGTCATTTTGGGGATTGTATCCCAGTATTGCTTTTCCTATTCTTTTATTGACTATGAAGGCTACTCCATTTCTTCTGAGGGATAGTAAATATTAAATCAATCAGTATCTCTAAAAACCTCCTTAACCCATTAGGTGAAATTTTAATTCTAAATTTTAAATCTAGCTCTAGCTTTCTTTTTGTGCCAAGCAGGCTTCCATACCAGTGCCTTTAAATCCTCCGATGTATTTCCCTTCATTCCCACACATGCTGTCTGAATCAAGGGAGAACATCCAGTTATCAATTTTTCAAAGGAACTGGCCCTTTTGTATTTATTAGGTTGCTGCCCTATTAAGTCATATTTGGTTTGAAGTGTTTGTCATCAGTTCAGTCTGGTCTTCTTCTTCTCCTCCTTCTCCTCCTCCTCCTCCTCCTCCTCCTCCTCCTTCTTCTTCTTCTTTCTTCTTCATTTTAGTATGAGTAAAATAAAAGGTCATTGTTGTTTACTTGTCTAGGTTGTCCAAGTTCTCACTATATTGTAGTTGTTGTTCAGTTCCTGTTGCTTTGGGAATTGCAAGTATTTTGGTTGAAGTCAGTATTTGGTCATCAAAGTTCTCAATAGGTTGTGTATATTGTTGCACAAAATCCTCTTTAATATTGGATTGTTCCTCTTCTGTTATTTTTTGATTTACAAGTTGGTCAATTGAAGTCTGAAGTTCAATTTGTAGTTTGGGGATAACATCTTTGGCTTTCACTCTAGAATTCATTAGCTCAGTGGCTTCAAGAATTTTTTCAAGTATAAGTTTATAATTAAGTTGTGGGTAGAGTTCCTCCATTTCTGTGATGGTTAATGATAGTCCTTTAGTGGAGGATATGTTTAGAAAGAGTCAGCCAATGTCCACTCCACCGTTTCTAGAGATTGTTTTCACCACCCAGCTGTTTCCAATTCTTATCTTTTTTGATAATGTGAAGGACAAATCAAGGGAGTCAGCAAGCTTCACAGTCAGAAAAATTCAGTTGCTGTGCCAGGTTTCACACAAGAAGTCCTCAATAGGCTATGAAATGTTTTCCCAAATGACAGTTATGCTTTTACGGACTTAAAAAAAAACCAGAAGAGTATTTTTCAAAGTAAATAGATGGATAAAATGTTAAGTCTCTATAATAGAAGCTTTTAGGACCCCAAAGTATCCCAAAAAATAAAAATCCAGTTATTTGGTTATAAAAATTATTTATTCTTTTCTTTACTTTCCAAAGCTCAGATTCCCAAACTATATTGAGAGCGGGGAAGAAATTTCAGAGGCTTTCACAGGAAGGTAGTTAGGGTAGAAGAGAGGAAAGGAAGGGTCTCACCCAGATCTTTCACGGTGCTTTGTTGTGCTTAATAGTGCTTTTGGCTAAGTGATCGGCCATGTTAATGGGCGGTCTTTTCTTTGTTGATCCAAAGAAGCTGCCTCAGCTCGGGTGGAAGGGCTGCCACTCTTCTGCACTCAAGGGAGGGTCCTCCTTAGCGATGGTCGCCCCTCCAGGGCAACTTTTGACCCTTTCCAGAGTCTTTCGGCAAAGGAAAACCAGACGGTGGAGAGGAGGCGCTTATCCGCTAGCACCGCGATCCAGAACGAGAAGCCCTCTTTTCCAGCATTGCTGATATATGATAGGACAAGGGATATTTCCTGGAACAGGAAAGAACTTTGCAGAAGAAAGAATTAAAAGCTGGCAGGATAAAAACTCATAATCAGTTTGTCCCAGGTTATCAATGTATCATCAGACCTTCCCCCTTAAAAAGAACGGCAGGGTAGCCCTGTGAAATAAATCATTTGTTTTTTCCCATAGCATTATTGTCGGGAGTAACCAAGATGCCTCTGTCCCCGGGATTATCGACCCATCTATGGCTCTGATCGCAGGACTTATACCAACAAGTGTGATTTCTGCAATGGTTATGTGTAAGTACATGTTTCACTCTATGCAACTGGAGAAGAAAGCATTTGGATTGAGAGCCCTGGATTTCTAGGCTTCAAAAGAGAAGTGTGTAAACTCATCCTCCTTTCAAGTATTCACTCAGAAACCATTTTCTGCCACAGATAAGTTGCATGGTAGTTCCAAAGGAGAATATTTAACTAATTTTAGTGGGAGAGGGAGTTATAGCCAAGTTGTCACTTTCAAAAAATCCCAAGTAACCTTTCTGACTGCTATAGTCTTTTGGTTGGCTGAGCCCCTATAATGGATGTATCTCTGTGGATTTTTAATTTAATTTTTGAGTCTGTTTTCCCATCAGTCGCAGTGGAAGAAGACTTTGGCTGAGATGGTTTGGAAGATGTTGAAACCTTAAAATTCAGAAGACTAAGGAACATTTATAAAGGATATCTCCCCATCTTCATGCCCTGTTTATTAACATCCCCTCAAAAACTTCTATTCCTCCCTCTGGTTCTGCTCTATTGCTCTATTAATTGTCTTTGGTGAATAAACGATTAAAGCATTATCTCTCCATGATTCTTCTTTTGGAATGTGTTTCTGCCATAATAGATTTTTTAGATAAGGTGGTTGTTCATTCTTGAAGAAGGCAAGTATTTGGAACAAAAATAATCTCTATACAGGCAGAATTTTTAAAAAAACTTAATAAAAAATACCTTCATAGATCTCTTGTGAATGGTAACAATTATTTCTTTGGCTCTTATTGCAGATTGGGATCCATTTGGTATATCATCATTCCCTCCCCCTTAATAGTCCCTATTATAAGGAGTAATATATGAAGTCACTTATGAAGGATGACTAAGTTGGGGAAGGGAGGACTACCCAAAATAGCAATAGCAGCAGCAATAATATCTATTATTATTTTATTATTTATTTTTAAAATTTATAAGCCGCCCCACTCCCGGAGGACTCTGGGCGGCTAACAGTAAAAAACACATAAAACATAACAAAACAAACAGTACAAAAACAGTCATCCAGGGGTCAGATTTATATACCACTTCACACTGCTTTACATCCCTCTCTATGCAGTTTACAGAGTCAGCATATTGCCCCCAACAATCTGGGTCCTCATTTTACCAACCTCGAGAAGGTGAAAGGCTGAGTCAACCTTGAGCCAGTGACACTCGAACTGCTGACAGCTGGCAGTCAGCAGCAGTAATCTGCAATTCTGCATTCTCACCACTGCTCCTCCAGCACTCAGAAGAGGAGAGGACTACCTGGTCTTATGCTCTCCTGTCTTACAGAGGAACGCGTTACCATTTGGCAACTTAATAAGAATCATTCTGTCACAGTTTATACTAAATATGGCAATAGGTCCTGTTTACTGTATCATTAAAAAGAAGGATGGATTATGGTTACAAAGTAAATAACTTGTCATTCACTTTATAGCTTTAGTCTACTCTCCAATGTGAAAACAGGCAATTGCCCTCTCAAAATCCCATCCCACTGTGCCCCCAATGACCAAACATACAGCAATATTCTTTTTCTGCAACAAATATTTCTAAGTATAAGATTTACTCTGTATAACTAGAGAAGAAAGCATTACTCCATTTAGCCCTGTCCCTCTCCTTGAACAAACAGAATAATGTTTAAATTGATTCTTGTTCTTGTTAATATTTATTTAAAAAGGTATGATATTCTACCATAGATGGATTTTGTAAAACTTTCAAGCAGAATATTTTACCTGTTCTTGGCACCACAGCAGAGTAAGTAAGCTTTCAGCATCCCTCTAGATCAGGGTTCCCCAACCTTTCCCGTTCGGTGGCCCATAGGGAAAGGGAGGAGCAGGAGGTTCTGGTCCCATCAGCAAAAAAACAGAGTTTCCCTGCTTTGCCTTCCCCAATCTCTTTTAAATGAAGAGCAGTCAGTTGCTTCTCCTGTCATGAACAATGTAGTTGGTTGACTCTATGGGTAGTTCTTGGTTTGTGATGGCAACTGAGACAAGAATTGCTCATTCTAATTGATATGGTCATACAGTGAGACATTGTGTGACTACAACACCTAGTAAAGACAGTTCTGGCAGTCACAGTTGTCATCATTAAGTGAAGACTAAGAGGAACCTCCAGAAAAGAAATAATACAGTCCCAACAACCAATCCCTATGACCCTTCTTAGACTCCATTTCATTACCGAGTACCTAAGCAGATATGTTTTTTTTCCTTTCAAAGGCTGACTACTCAATTCCAAACATAGCCATTTCCCCTCAGTCCCCCCCCCCCTTTTTTTTTTGTAACAGAGAAATTTAGAAAAGGGGCAGAGTGGCCTCGTTAAATGGTGGAAACTGCATGGTGCTGTACTAGAAGCAGACACCATTTTTGAAACAAAGGCAAGGAATTGTGGTGGCTCTGAAATGGCACCCACTTCTGGGATGATGTCACATGTTCTTGAGGGGACCATCTTTTTCATGTGTTCCGTGTATTCCTACCTGTCTAATCTGGCCCAGAAGGATGGTCATGCTCTGGGTTTTGTCAGCCAAGGAGTGTCAGCTGGCAGGGCCCAGGAGGCTTGCCTTTTCTCCCATATTGCCTAGACCTGTCCCCTTGAAAAGATGGGCAGGATAGCCTTACGAAATAAACCATTTGCTTTTTCCCATAGCATTATTGTTTGGGGTATCCAAAGTCCATCTTCACTAAGGAATATCTATCCCACAGTGGCTCTGATGGCAGGACATATGCCACTAAGTGTCATTTCTGCAATGCATATGGGTAAGTACATGTTCCATTCTCTGCAACGGGAGAAGAAACATTTCTATAGGGAGCCTTGGATTTTTATTCTTCAAAACAGAAGTGCACAAACTTATCCTCCTTTCAAGTATTCAGTCAGAAACCATTTTCTGCCACAGATAAGTTGCATGGTGGTTCTTAGGGGAATATTTAACTAATTTTAGGGGAAGAGGAAAGCATAGCTAATGATACTTTTAAAAAATCCCAAGTAAGCTTGCTGACTACAGTATTGCAATCTTTTGGGTGGCTGAGCCCCTACAGTGGATGCATCTCTGTGGATTTTTAATTTAATTTTTGGGTCTGTTTTCCCATCAGTCACAAGTGGAAGAAGACTTTGGCTGTACTTATCAGGATATGTTGAAATCTTAAAATTCAGAGGAGTAAGGAACATTTATTAAGGATATCTCAACATCTTCATGTCTTGCTCATTAACATCCCCTTCAAATTTCTGTTCTTATATCTGCTTCTGAACTTTTGCTCTGTTAAATTTCTTTGGTGGATTTATCAATAAACAAAGCAAAGCATTATTTCTCCAAGCCATACTGGATTTTTTTAGATAAAGTTATTGTTAATACTTGAAGAAGCCAAGTATTTGGGGTAATACATTCAAGAAAATAATCAATCTCTATAGAAGCAGAATTCAGAAACTTAATAAAGAGGTACCTTCATAGATCTCTTGTGAATGGTTAACAATTATTTCTTTGTCTCTTATTGCAGATTGGGGTCCACTTGATGTACCATTGCTCCCTCCCCATTAATAGAATCTCTATTAGAAGTAGTAAATAGTCACCTATGAGGAATGGCTAAGTTGGGGAAGGAAGGACTACCCAGGAGCAGAGAGGACACCTGGTCCTGTGCCATCCTGTCTTACAGAGGAAGGAGCTACCATTTGGAAACTTAATAACAAATAATCATTTTGTCACAATTTATACTAATTATGCTGTCTGAGTCATTAAAAAGAAGAATGGATTACTGTTATAAAGTGAATAACTTGTCACTCACTTTCTAACTTTACTCAATTCTCCAATGCCCCAAACAAGCATTTGCCCTCTCAAGTTCCCATCCCACTGTGTGTCCAACAACAAAACGTACAGCAATGTTTTTTTTCTGCAAGACTTATTTGTAAATATAAGATTTACTCTGTATAGCTTAAGAAGGAAGCATTACTATAGGTAGCCCTGTCCTTCTTCTTGAACAAACAAATTAATGTTTAAATTGAATCTTGTCCTTGTGAATATTTACTCAGAAAGGCATGATATTCTATCATAGATGGATTTTGTAGGACTCCCAAGCATAACATTTTATCTATTTTAGATGCCACAACAGAGAAGGTATGCTTCAAGGAGCCCTCTAGATGACCACGTTTAATGGTGAAGCCTCAGAGTGCTCCCACTATGCCTGTTCTAACTAGATGGGGGGAGGATTTGAGACAGGTAACTCTGTTGAAATAAACACATCAATTTCATTTTACATATTTTAGTATTTAATTTTAAAATACACGAGAAATTCATTAATAATCACATATGTATTTGTATGTATTACTAATATTATATGTTAGCATATGTAAGTAATAGGAGGCAAGAATTAAACATTGGTTACTGATATCACATAAATCAGGAGAATGTTTCTCATAATAGCATAAGCACTTCTGCATATAGTATAATCCCCAAACCACTAACATATTGGAATTAGAACCTTCCCCAACATCTTCCTTGGATGTGTTTATCTACAACCAGGAACTCATTCCCATTCAGATATACTCAAATGTGAAATTCTATCATCTGCTATTTGACATGGGAAGCAAATCACACACTTTGTTTCTAAAGGCATAGCTTGATTATGAGCACAAGGGTTCAGTACATCTTCTTTTCTTGAAAGCAGGCAGTGATGGGGCGAAACAATTCTGGCCCCATCATCAAAAAATAGAGTTTCCCTGCTTTGCTTCCCCCCAATCTACTACAAATGAGGAAAAAACAGTGGCTTCTTCTGGCATGAACCATGTACTTGGTTGAGTCAATGGGCAGTTCCTGGTTTGTAATGGCAATTAAGACCAGAATTGCCCATTCTAATTGATGTGGTCATACGGTGAGACATCATGTAACTATAGCACCTGGTAATGGCAGTTCTGGCAGTCACAGTTGCTATCATTAAGTGAGGACCAAGAAGGAATTCCAAAAAAGGAGTAATATAGTTCCCACAACCAATTTCTACAATCACCCCTAGTCTCCATTTCACTATCTAGTACCTACACAGATATTTTTTCTTCCTTCAAAGGCTAACTGCTCAATTACCAACACAGCCATTTCCTTTCCTTTTTTTCTTTTTTTGTAGCAGAGAAATTTAAAATAGGGGCAGAGCGGCCTCCTTAAATGGTGGAAACTGCATGGCACTGTACTAAAAGCAGCACCATTTTTTAAAATGAAGGCAAGGAATTGTGGTGGCTCTGAAATGGCACCTACTTCTCGGATGATATTGCACAGCCTTCAGGCCTGGGAAATAGGTTACCCAAGGGTCCACCATTTTCTATATGTTCCTTCCTGTTTAACCTGGCACAGCAGGATGGGCATCCTCTCAGCTGGCAGGGACCAGGAGGCTTGCCTTTTCTCCCATAGGGCTTGCCTTCTAGAATAACCTCCTTCCTGAGATGAGGATGGAGTTGACTCTGCTGGCCTTCGGGAAGGCCTTGACGTCCTGACTACGTACCTGTGCCTGAGGTCCTCAATCTGTGAAGAGCCGATTTCCTGGTTATGCTGACAATAATGGATTGTAATAAATTTCTGCTGATATTTGTGGTTAATTTCTTTTCTTAAATGGGTCTTAATTGTTCTTATGATTGTTTGCTGTCGAAAGTCACTGGTTTGAGGTGGGCAGTTATACAAAAACAATGAAAAATGAAATGAAATAAGACAGAGAATTGCTGGGATATTGTGATTCTGGATAAAGGAAAGAACAGGAAAAGGTCATTGCAGGTGGTGCTTCTCTTTCCATCACGTTCTCAAAAGCAGAGGAAGACTTGATCCTCCAAAGAATCACTAGAGATGGTAGCTTCTGGCCATAAATATAAATTAAATCTAGTGGCATGTTGCCACTCACCTGAATTAAGAAAGTTGACAAAGCCATTCCTGATACAGGAATTTCTGGTAATGAACTTAAAGTAAGCAGTTTATCTTCTGTACAACAGCATAAATTGACTGAATCCCTCTGCACCTTAAAGTAAATTTCAGAATGAAGAATACTTCAATTCTAACTTGACAATATGTTCCATTTCATGTCTTCTAAGTTTTTTTTTAAGAAAATAAAGCAGATCATGTTTTCTATGTCCTAAATTCAGATCTTGCTTGGTTCTATTTTTTGTTCTTAGAACTTTCAAATATTTCAAGGAATCCAGTCCTGTTTACTTAGCAAAGGCTGTGATTTGAATGAACACTTGGTTTGTCAACAGTATATGTTGTGGTGTAAGGAGAGAACAATTGTGCTATTTTTAAATACACTGCCTCATTCATGCAATATGATTTTTCTTAAACTGTAGCTTTCAAGAGTGTTGTGGACTCACTTTTATCACAAAGTCTACTGAAAGAACACAGTTAAAACTTAACTGTTGAGTCACACAGAGAATGATGAAGCGTGTTTCGAAGCTATGCTCCAGCCATAGAAGGAATGGAGTATGAAGAATAGGCTCTGAGTGTCAGCATCTAGGGTACTGAAGGAGTAAAGCTGAAGAAAGAATCCAGCATAGACCATATTTTAGCATCCTCCCTCATGCCCCCTTATTCTTTAGGGATAGATTGAATGTTTTGTAGAAAACTAAATGTGGCACGTCCACATATCTACAGAAATCTAATTTATTATTTAATTTTAAAACATACTGTCCTTTCTTATGAGCAACTAAGTTCCTATTCTAATTGCTATTTAAAACTCTCTGTCTCTTCATGTGAACATTAAGGCTGAAATTGACATAGTCCACAAATACGATGTGACCTCTAATGACTGGTATGGTAATGGGCAATCAAAGTAATAAGGAGAAACACAGAGATTTCCTTGTACAGAATATAGATGGACAGATGCTGTATAGAGGAGGAACTGGGCTTGTTTTCTATTTCTCTCAGAGGCAGGAGAAGAACCACTGCGTTGAAAATGCAAGGAATCTGATTCAGATGAAATATAAGAAGGAGTTTTCTTTTGGGAAGAGTATGTATCAGTGGAAATAGGGATTACTTCAGGTATGATTTCCTTCACAGGTTTTCCTTAGTCTGGGTAGATGTCTGTCTGACATGCGTCAGCAGTTCCTGCTTTGAGCAAGATCTCAGACTAGGTGACCTCATAGATCCTTTCTAACTCTGATTCTAGATTTAAAAAAAATATTCTCTCCAAGTTTTCTACAGATTGGTGGGGGGGAAGGGGAAGGTAGTTGGATCAACTATGCAGGTTCACGCTAGTCACTATGTACAGAAATTAATTCTGCTGACATTACATGCAATTATTAGAAGAAAATTTTAAACAGTAAGGCTGGAGGGAAATGAAAGATAGTATTGGTTGGTTGGTTGGTTGGTTGACTGACAGATGTATTTAATATGACTCTTTCATCCTGTAATAACATAGGAAAGGAACATCAGTTGATTTAAAGCTGATCAGTGGATGGCACACAAATATATTTGATAATGATAATTCATTCAACTCATAACATGACTCCTCAAAATACTTGCCTATGAATGATGATGATAATGATAACCTTTATTGTCATTTTTTTCCTGTGGGCACAACAGCACACATTAAAAATGAAACTTAGTTGGTTGCTCTCAAGTGTACACATACATAACATACATTTAAAAATATACTATATACAACATATATATAGACCTACACCCTTACATATAAGTAACATATAAATATTAGTCACTGTCCATCTTGAATACATAAAGAAAGGAGGAAGCTTTACAGTTCACAAGATTAATACTGTATGGAACAAAGCTGTGACTGAATCTGGATGTTCTGCATCGGATACCACAGAGCGTCCTCCCAGAAGGTAACAAGGAAAACAGATCATGAAGAGGGTGTATAGTGTCCCAGACAATCTTGTGGACCCTGCTCAAGCAACGCTTATGTGCTATGTCCTGGAGAGAATGAACTTTTCAGCCAATGATATTTTCATGCTTATGGTTTGAATGGGATAATAGAACCTAAGCAAAGGAAAGTACAGAATTCAGTTTTTCGGCTTATAAGAAATAAAGAGTCCAACTTCAACCGAGTTCACCAAAGTTCAATGATGCAATCATGAAACCAGGAAGCTTTCTGCTGCTCATTCTGCTGCTCTTCTTTTTGTACTCCAGTAAGTTCTGTTTACTACTTGAACTTTTCCTTTTCTGAGAGATTTGAGGAGACCTTTATCACCAGGAAAAAAGGATAAAAATGCAAAGATATCCTCAAGGTTGCTAGAATGGGAAATAATTCTTCATTAGGGGAATCCGCATAAGTAGCAAATAAAACTTGGATGCTATTGGTGCAGAACTGACTATTTCACTGGAAGTTCCTTTAACACCATGGATTTTCTGGTTGTGACTCATAGTTTCCAAGCACAACTTTTCATAAAGTAGTTCAGGCATTGTGAAGTTGAAGGAAAAATCTTCATCAGGATCCAGTCCAAGCCCGGAATAAACAAAATGGAGACTGCTTTAGAAAGAAGGTTGCAGTTTATTGGAGAGGAGAGCAAGATAGAAAGATGGCTCTAGGAAAAACTGAGTGGTGGGTTTTTATACCTTCTTGAGCTTTTGTTTGGAGTTGCTCCTGTGGCATGAACTTTGACCTGAGTCTGAGTGTACCTTTCTGGTCTTCTGATGGTGGTGTTGGCATCTGTACTAGTCCCTAGCCTCCTCAGACATGACTGAAGAAAGACAAGGTGACTGGCACACAGGAACGCTTCAACAAATGCTTTAATCCAACGGTTCACAAACAACATCAGTGCTGGGAGTGCTTTGCTCCCAGTGCATTAAATACCTTCCCTCCCTGCAATTCCACCCCCCCCCCACATACAACAGGCCAGCATCTGGTGTTTGTCCTTAAAGGCAGCCGGTTCCCCTGGCCTGGCCTGTCTCTGCCAGTTGGTGTTGCACAACGGAGCGTCAGAGCCGTTCTCTGTCACCCTTGGGCACCCCCATGGTCTTTGCTAGCATTGCCATCACCTCGCAGCCCTCAGCCAATTGGAGGCCTCCCAGCTGTCCAGCAGCATTGCAGTCATGCTGCAGATGGTTGCTGTGGCACAAAGGCCGTACAAGACCACCAGCTGATCGGCAGCACCGGAATCAGGCTGACAGGCCTCCTGGCTGTTCAGCGGTGCTATGTTCGCTGGTGGTGCTGCTTTCGGCGATGTTCCATTCCGCGCATTGCTGCTTTCATTCCCCCCCCCTTGACTGTCGAGCTCACGGGGCTTGACAGGTGGTGGGTTAATCCTATTATGTCCCACAGGTCATATCCTGCTTCCCTGGGGCTGTGGCTGATGACTGTTGGATTTTTGGTGTGAGGGATTGTTGATTCTAGAGATCTTTGTCTTTCTAATCCCAGCTTCCTGACTCCAATCATTCTGACAAGATTATCGCATCTGCATTTCTGCAGACTGGTTTCTGTTTGGGGCAGAGAGATTTGGGGGGGGGGTTGGTTTCTGCCTTAAAAATCCTTTGGAGAAATATATTCTGCCTTTTTAATATTTCTCTGGATTCTTCCCACAGTGAAGAAGAGAGTCCATTATAATGGTCTTATTTTTGTTTTTGATTTAGTTTTAGACAAGTGAGGGATCACACAATCACCTTCCATTTTTGGAGATGATGAAACCATGCTGTATTTAACAGTGCTCAGCATTCCCAACAATTAGAATAAAGTGTTGCTTTCAGGTGTAATATAAGGTGTAATATAAGCAGAATTTTGGCAGAAATCAACAATATTGAACTAATGATTAGTTTTATGAGTAGTGAACTGTCAGTTTTTACTGGATTTTGTGCTAATGTTTTTTTTTTATTTCAGCTGGTAAAGGATTTTAATGGGAAGGTGGGAGCAAGAGACAGTGTAAATAGAAACACACTAGTAAATTATAAAAAATAGGAGATGATAGGGAACTGTCTCAAATGTTCTCATTTGGTATATATATATATTTCAGATATTACTGCCAAAAGTGTTGATTTAAACGTGAGTACCAAATTTTAGTTATTCAATGAAATCACTGTGTAGGACCCAAAAATGTGAATGCATAATAACCTCATGCCTGTCCCTCGCTACTACCACAAACTTTGTTGCCAACATGTTGTATCCTCAGATACAATAAGATTTAGAGCAATTATTCTGGCAGCTTTCTTTCAAACTCCCCCATCAGGCCAGGTTTTCTGCTTTTATCCATTCTTTCTCCCTCAATCATTCCTTTAAGGACACAGCACACAATTCAAATCATATGCACCACAAAATCTAAAATCTAACAAACTAACCAATGTTTTAAGTTACTGTTATGGAGCTGTTTGTTTCGGCATGTCTTACATACATACGTACTCTTACTTTTGGGACAAGTGTTGCAAACAATGCAGATCTAAAGAGCAATATGAAGATTATAAAATATAATTCCTAACAATCCCAAATCCATTTTCCGGCATTGCTGATGTACAATAAGACAAGGAACAGGAAAAGAAAACTTTTTAGAAGAAAGAATTACAAACTAACAGGATAAAAACACAGAATCATTTTGGTCCAAGTTATTCAAATTATCCTCTGGTCTTCTCCCTTAAAAGGATGGGCAGGGTAGTCATATGAAATAAATCATTTGCTTTATCTCGTAGCATTATTGTCAGGGGTATACAACTTCCATCTGCACCCTGGAATTCCAACCCCTCTGTGGCTCTGATGGCGAAATTTATATCAACAGGTGTTTTTTCTGCAATGCTTATATGTAAGTACATGTTCCACTCTCTGCAACTGGAAAAGAAACATTTGGATAGGGAACCCTGGATTTCTAGGCTTCAAAAAAGAAGTGTGCAAACTTATGCTCCTTTCAAGTATTCACCCAGAAAGCATTTTTTGTCACAAATAAGTTGCATGGTGGTTCCAAGGAGAATATTTAGCTAATTTTAGTGGGAGAGGGAACTTGTCACTTTCAGACAATCCTCAGTAAACATGCTGACTATTACAATCTTTTGAGTGGCTGAGTCACTGTAGTAG